CCTTTTTCGAATTTCTAAATTAACCGTTCGCGAGCATAGAAGTGACTTCTTTTTATTAAAGGCGACACGACCCTGCGCTATCCTCTGCTTTATATCCCTACTACTCCTTCCATCCTCACTTATCTGACTTCGTAGGTATCTAAAATCAGCCACTTCTTCTAAAATTTCATCTCCTATCTTTATATTCGCTCTTCCCCTACTTTTTCTTGCCTTGCATACCAGTATTTTAGTTTTACTTTTATTTATTTTCATACAGTACTGATCTGTCAGTACCGCTTCCGTTTTATTTAAAGCTATCTCTAGGTCCTCCTTGCTAGATGCTAATACTGCTATATCATCCACAAATCTAAGCATACTAATCTTTTGCCCTTGCACATCTATCCCTACAGTTGTACTGTCTTTAATGAGACATCACCTATAAACTAATTAAATAAATAGTCACACAGACTTGTAGAATTTTTATCACGAAAACTTCATGCAGTTTAGTGAATATTTTAAATGCTTCTTTTCGTTGACCTGAAGATGATTCAAAAACTAAAAGTAAATTCGTAATAATGCTTTTCTGCTTCCTTTATAAGTTAGGTACAATAATAACAATAATTGTTTACTCAAATAATTATTATTAGTATTATTTATTTCCATATTAATTTTGAGCAAAAATGCCAACTTCGTTTAAACTCTTAGCATACTATCGATACAACCTTTAAGGCCTTTGAACCGATAAGATCAACAACTACTATAATAACGCATATGCTACTGCAACATAAAAATCATTGGTTTAAATGAATTTTACCGCTGCATTCGGTATAAATTAAAATTGCAGAAGCCACTAAATATTCTGGTACACGACATCGCATGAAACCGGGCAATATAAATTCACTCCGTGTAACTTAGTACAACATAGATCTTCTCCAAAATGTTTGGTGGTAGCTGCGGCAAATTTCATTTTCTCAAATCTCCCGTTCACAAAATAAACATAGTCTCTATGCCAGCAAACATACTGAGTGAGTACAGAGCTTAACGTTAATGTCTTCTCGTGCATCCCTTTTCATTTATGGTGTAGAGAATTACCCACCAAAAAGTCTACTTAAACTATGTGATCTTAATATACAGAGGGCAAACTTTATGAACTTTTTGATTAGGAAAAATAAACATTTATGCTGGAACATGTTTATTTTGACGAAAAACTGCTGCAACCGGTTGGACATTATCAAGAATATTTCATTTGTCAACGAAACTATTGACAAAATTTTAACATAAGATGATTGTAAATAGGTCCAGGAGATTATTAAATTAATCGATTAATTCCGATCGATCAATTATTCTAACGAACTGAAGATAAATTATTAATAATCGATTAATTGGATCATTTGCCAAGCCCTAATTGTAACTACCTCAAAAATAGTCACATCTGATTTTCTTTTTATTCGAATTTTTAACGTTGTTATCAGTTTATTGGTTAAATTTTATAATTTGTGCTTTTGCAGAATTCACAATTCATATTCCATCGTCAAAAAATGTTTAATGTTAGACAGTACCCCAGATAAAAATGTTCAGTCTCTCAAAATCTCTGAAAGCGGGACTCGAGTATCCGTCTCTCATCTAGACTCTCTGGTGTCGCTGAGAGAGACCGTCGAGAGACTGTCAAAAAAACTGTTTAGCGTCTCTGAACGAGAGACTCGAATCTCTGAACGGCAGACTCAAATCTCTCAATAAGTGGTGTCTCGATAGACATGGTTAAAATTTTCCAAGTTCAACATATTTCAGAGATCCCAATCTTTCTACGAGATACTCGAGTCTCTCAATTTTTCAGTTTTAATCATTCAGTCTCTTTGTGAGAGACTCGAATTTCTGAATTAACAATTTTATCGTTCGAGTCTCAGAGACTGTGAGAGATTCATAAAAACGTCTAGGCAATAACTGAGAGACTGTGAAAGACTGAGAGACGCTTCCAGACTCTGAAAGACTCTGAGAGACTGAAAATTTTTGTCTAGAGTAGTACGATAGCTATAATCGTATTTCTTTTGTTTTTGTGATTCCCAAATATTTGTTCGCCTTTTTACAATTTCCAGTGAAAATGTCACAAATAAACGTCGGGTATTCTATTTCGACTTGCGAATCGCTTAAACGCTAAACACACGACCAAAAACGCGCATTATTAGATTCCAGATAAAATTTATATCCTCAAATATTCCAATTTAATTTCCTCCTGTGAAGCAGTTTCCACCTAATGGCTACACAAGATGGAAAATTGACTGTTCTATCTCCGGAAAATGATGTGGAAAAAGAGAAAAAAGAAGATCGTAACCATCTATAGCTCACTTGTTTAATTCGCTCTGCTACGATTATCTTCAGATATAAATCCTTTAATTTATTGATATATAACCGCGTTTAAAAAAATTCATTGTAAAATAAACAAAAGCATATAAAAATGCAATAGTTCCTGATACATTTTAGACGTCGTTAATTAATAAGTAATTTGTTTCTCCAGGAGCAGTTGGAGGAGATGACGATGGAGATGATAAGGAAAAAGAAGAGGAAGCAGAAAGAGAAAGGTTGGAAGCTATCAGGGAAGCTGAAGAAAGGAGAAAGGAGAAGCATAGAAAAATGGAGGAAGAAAGAGAAAAGATGAGGCAAGAGATCAGAGACAAGGTAAACACATCACCTATCATCATCATAAGGTCATCAGTCCTAAGACTGGTTGGACACATACCTCCACTCTTTCCTATCCTGAGCTAAACTTCGCATTTCCCTAAAACTAGAACAGCCCACATCCTTAACTATTTGCGAACAGTAATCTAATCTAGGTCTACCTCTACCCCTCCTAACTCCTGTTTCTGCCTCTAATATGTCTCTGACTAGACCTTCATGCCTGAGAAGGTGTCCTACCAACCTATCTCGCCTATTTTTTATTGACTTCCATAGAGTCCTCTGTTCTCCTATTCTTTCCAATACCTCTTCATTTCTAACCTTTTCTACCCACGATATCCTCATCATCCGCCTATAACACCACATTTCGAACGCTTCTAACCTTTTCTTTTCCGCCGCTCCCACTGTCCATGTTTCGCACCCGTACAACGCCGTGCTCCAAACATACACCTTTAACAACCTTTTTCGAATTTCTAAATTAACCGTTCGCGAGCATAGAAGTGACTTCTTTTTATTAAAGGCGACACGACCCTGCGCTATCCTCTGCTTTATATCCCTACTACTCCTTCCATCCTCACTTATCTGACTTCGTAGGTATCTAAAATCAGCCACTTCTTCTAAAATTTCATCTCCTATCTTTATATTCGCTCTTCCCCTACTTTTTCTTGCCTTGCATACCAGTATTTTAGTTTTACTTTTATTTATTTTCATACAGTACTGATCTGTCAGTACCGCTTCCGTTTTATTTAAAGCTATCTCTAGGTCCTCCTTGCTAGATGCTAATACTGCTATATCATCCACAAATCTAAGCATACTAATCTTTTGCCCTTGCACATCTATCCCTACAGTTGTACTGTCTTTAATGAGACATCACCTATAAACTAATTAAATAAATAGTCACACAGACTTGTAGAATTTTTATCACGAAAACTTCATGCAGTTTAGTGAATATTTTAAATGCTTCTTTTCGTTGACCTGAAGATGATTCAAAAACTAAAAGTAAATTCGTAATAATGCTTTTCTGCTTCCTTTATAAGTTAGGTACAATAATAACAATAATTGTTTACTCAAATAATTATTATTAGTATTATTTATTTCCATATTAATTTTGAGCAAAAATGCCAACTTCGTTTAAACTCTTAGCATACTATCGATACAACCTTTAAGGCCTTTGAACCGATAAGATCAACAACTATGCAATCAATACCTTATCCTTTGCTGTAATAAATTTAGAAGATGGATTAAATTTTGCGGCTCAGCCAGTTATAAACGATCAAGTCTGGTAAAATTGAAGAGCCAGTTTATATTTCACTATAATTATACGGTTAGAAAGCGTGTTAAGTTGTAATTTATGCAACGGTGCAAGGGTAAAATGCGAACGGTTTACTTGGGTTTGCATCGCGATAATTATTGTAGTCCGAGAGCCAAGTTTTTAATGCGAAAAAGTCTGAAAACAGCGCTCCAAATTTTTTCCCCAGTACCCGAAATACATTACGTAAATGCAGATGCCTTAATTAAAATAAATTGTTCGAGTAGAATCGCAGTTTTTAAAGTTGAAAATTAATTTTATTCACTTTTTCGTTGTCAAGCTCCTATATTTTCTATCAGAAACTTTAGCTTTATTTAATAAAAACTTCATGCTATAAACATTAATAAGGGTAGAAGTACATTTTTTTTAACCAAATTGAATAAACTGACACGTACTCGATCCTTAAATAGTATTATTGCTTTATACCTTTTAGGGGTTGTACAGATATAAAATAGAAGATGGAACAGGGTTCAGTCGCCTTTAACAAACAGAAGTCACTTCTATGTTAACGAACGATTAATTTAGAAATTCAAAAAAATGTGTAGATATTTATGGAGCAAGGCGCTGTACAGGTGCAAAACGAGGAAAAGAAAAGGTTAAAAATGTTTGAAATGCGGTGTTACAGGCGAATGATGAGGATACCGTGGATAGGGAAGGTTAGAAATGAAGAGATATTAATTAGAAAGGATAGGAGAACAGAGGACTGTATGGAAGTCCATAAATTGTTAGGACACCTTCTCAGGCATGAAGGGCTAGTTAGAGACATTTTAGAGGCAGAAACAGGAGTTAAGAGGAGTAGAGGTAGACATAGATTAGATTACCATCCACAAATAGTTAAGGATGTGGGATATTCTAGTTTTAGGGAAACGGGAAGATAGAAAATAGGTAAGGTACATGTCCAACCAGTCTTAGGACTGACAACCCTATGATGATGATGACGAAAATAATTGGTCACAACATTTATAACGTTTTACTTCACAACTTTGTGTTTGTAAAGTTGAATATTTTTGGTTCGCAATTTTTTTATGTAGTACCGCGCTAATGAACGAAAAACAACTATTAAACATGAGAAACGGTCAACTGCAATGTTGATTGAATAGAGGACTAAAACGGGCGATCGATTTTTCTTTCAGTTATAAAAAATTGAATTTGTGCCGCATTTGCAGTCGCATGTGTCCCTGTATGAGCGCCCGTCATTATGGATAGTGCAAGTTCAACTTTTCGTGTTCCATGCTGTCCATAAATTACTTTTCGTTACGACCCCGTGACGCTGCAGGCTCAAAACTACCCCTGTTCGTGACACGTTCACGTTTCACAAAGCAAGTGTTACCAATTTGAACTTTAGCGTTAGCACGAAAACAATGAGGAAAAAAATAACTAAATTATATTAAAAGAAACGGAATTTATTTTAATTTCTTATAGACGTAAATTGCTTTTGACTTTTTATATTTGTTAAAGGAACTGTAGGTACATGAAAATGAAATTGAAATGAAACTACAAACAAGGTTTTTGTATTTAATTTGTGTAAAATTCGGTTTTATTTAGAACTGAAATGGAATTTTATCTTGGTCTTCTACATATTTAAAACAATAAGACAAGAAGTGGCTTAAATGCAAACTTTCTAACTCACCACTAATTTCAATTTGAGGTATCTAGGAAGTCAGATAAATCAGGACGAAAGGAGTAGTAGGGATGTAAAGCAGAGGATAGCGCAGGGTCGAGTCGCCTTCAATAAAAAGAAGGCACTTCTGTGCTCACGAAAGGTTAATTTAGAAATTCGAAAAAGGTTGTTAAAGGTGTATGTTTGGAGCGCGGCACTGTACGGGTGCGAAACATGACAGTGGGTGCGGTGGAAAAGAAAAGGTTAAAAGCGTTCGAAATGTGGTGTTGCAGGCGAATGATGAGAATACTATGGATAGAGGTTAGAAATGAAAAGGTATTAGAAAAAATAAGAGAACAGAGGACTCTGTGGAAGTCAATAAAAATTAGGCGAGATAGGTTGGTAGGACACTTCCTCAGAGGTCTAGTGAGAGACATATTAGGGGCAGAAACGGGATTTAGGAGGGGTAGACGTAGACCTAGATTAGATTACTGTTTGCAACTAGTTTTAGAGAAATGCGAAGATGACTACTTTCAGTAAATAAAAGCAACATTTGACAATACTCTTAAAATGTTTGGAAAGTTGATGAATACTCAGTTTTATGAAAACATCATAACGTTATATCACTGTCTTAAACATTGTCTTCTATTTCCCGACTCAACTGTGATTCCGTAAGTGCTTAAAGTTTTAAATCGCGTTGCAGTGTCCATTAGTTCTTCCTAACTTGAACTTTTAATTATGTTAACAAATTGGCCAGCTATTTCTATTTCGTCTGGAATAAATGACCACTTTTAAAAGAGCATCAAGGCTGAGGTTTCTGATTAATTCGTGCAATTCCTTGAGGAACTTTATCCTGGCAAAGAGACGGATTCCTTCGCTCTAAGTTTGCACGTCTTTTTCACGAAGAAAAATGCAGTTTATATGCCAGGAATTTTTGATTATTTTGCCTTATCTTTATCAAATACCTTGCCATGAATTCCTTTTTATATCCTTACGGGAAGCGTGTTATGTACGAGGAATTTATAACGATCTAAAAAACCTTAGACAATGCAAAATTTCTTGAAAAACAAAAAACCAAAGAAGTTAATGAAAAATTTCTTATAACTTTTTTTAATTACTCTTAATAACGTTAAATAACCTAGGACTTAAATTTAAGACATTTAGCGTAAATGATTATGAGTAAACTGTGGGTCGAACGGGATATTCAATTAAAAAATAACCCTTTGAACATGAACTACCATAATTTAGTACTCAAAAGGTGCATGTACAATAAACCATTAATAAGAATGATTTTTTACATCTTAAGATTAGATATTTCAAATTGTTTTATTTAAAATAAAACAAGAACTTAATCGTGAACATTGAAGAATTTTTAAAAGACCAAAGAAAATCTTAAAAACATTTTTTTATNATTAGATATTTCAAATTGTTTTATTTAAAATAAAACAAGAACTTAATCGTGAACATTGAAGAATTTTTAAAAGACCAAAGAAAATCTTAAAAACATTTTTTTATTAGGAAACAGACACAATCAGGTGATGCACCTGTCTTTGTTTATGGATTTACAAAAAACAACTTCTTCAATTGGCGTTTATCAAATAAAAATTTACAAAAAATATGATCCAAAAGTAAATTAAATTAAAACAATGGTATCCTAAAATAATAACAACTTTAAAATGTGTAAGTAGCTACAATAACCATTCTTGTGGACCATTTGAATGTGAATTGTGACACTTTTTAGGGTTCCGTACGTCTGAATGAAAAACGGAACCCTTATGGGATCACTGGTGCCTCTATCACAGTCAATTTGCTGCGAATCTACTAGACTGATTAAGTTCAAATTTAGTACACATATGAATTTCTGTGACCCAAACACGGGCGATAACGTAAATAAATTAATTTCGAACATGGGGGTTATTATTGGAGGGTCAATAGGAAATAAAAAAAAAAGGTTTTGCAAACTGTACCGTGTGACATGTCAAATGAAAGGGCTTGTTATAAGGGTTTCAAATATATTTTTTATAATTTTAAAACAAGTAGTTTTAAAGTTATTTAAGAAAATAGATGAAAATCGACCATTCCCCCCTTTATTTC